TCAGGGACTTGGCAATTTGTTTCCTGGCCCTTCCTTACAGTCTCATAGCTGATGGACCTTATACTCCCTTTCAGGGAGCAAGAAACCCAGGAAGGTGGAACAGAGGCGTTCTTCCGTTCAGTTTAAGACTGCAATACACAGATTTGGTAAAGCTGCTTCCTTTTTGTCATTACCTCGTTCCTTAATTTGAATGCAAACTTCTGCTAAGCTCAGGTATCCACGACACACAAACTAAGCCTGATTAGTTATCCAACACCTTTTCTTTGCAGGTTAAAAAGCAAAGAGATCAGAAAAGCCACCAGAGAGAAGTATGGAGTTGCACAGTAAACTGGTGGTTTTTTTGTTTTTTGGGTTTGTTTGTTTTTTTATACGGAGCTTAAGCAGTATCCCATCACCTACGGCAGCAAAACCTCTGGTGAATGCTAGCAATAACTGTGAACACATCCAGCTCTAAGCCTGCCACAGGAGTGTCACACAATGGCATGCAACAGTGGCTCCTTTGAGGAGACGCAGAGCAGATCTGCAGAGCATATAGTTTCTCAGCCAATAAAACAAGCTGCCAACATTGCCAAACAGTTCTCTCATCTGCCTAATAACCACCTGCATAAAGGCTGCAGGGCAGGTGATTATACAGATGACATGATATTATACCCTTAGTAACACCATCAAGACACGACCACGTAAAACCTGCTCATTTCTGCTATTTATACTGAGCACACTCGGGCAGGACAAAACTATACGCGCACAGGCTGTTTCTCCAAAGCAGACAGACATTACAGCCACACAACAGCATACACCTGCTCAAAGCCTTTGTAACAAACATACTTAACCATACTTGTTTCTCCAAGATGCCCAAGGAACTTCCTTCGCTAAGACATGAGAACTAAGTAAAAGGGAAGGGTTTTGTGGGGAGGGCTACAGGAGTCATTAGTGCTCACACGTTGCTTTGCTGGCAGTCTGTTGTACCGCCTTTCCCTTCTACACTAGCCAGATTCTCTTAAGTTTTACACATGGAAACAGTCAGCCTAAAGCAGTCTGAGCCTGAGGGAAAAGTCACCTCTCTGACTGAAGCTGCTTAGCTTCTTACCAGCGGCTAAAAGGGAAGAGAGTCACAGCTGCAGGCAAAACATTCTTGCCTTGGGGAATTGCACTTAACTTATCACCAATTAACATAAGCTTTTAATTACTCCCGCCCCTAGCAGCTACCGCCCTTTGTGAAGTACACCTGAGCAGAGGTGCCATACGCTCCTACACAAAGCTGAAGCTTTGGTGTGCAGCAGGCTGGTGTCACCGACTGCCACGCCAGCTAGTGATGGCTGTGACCGCTTGGCACAGGGCTGTTCTCCCGCACAGGCCAACCGCGCGGCCCCCTGCTACCAAAACCCTGCCGCTTACACCCAGCGTGGCCACACTCCGGCACCCCCTTCCACGCAGGCGAGGGACAACCAAACTTCCCATGCTCTTCATCCCCACAGTATGCTACAGCTTCTGTCTTGAAAGATTTTGAATTTTTTTTGCTCCAGCAAAACCCAAGTTTTTATTTCCTTTCCCGTCCTCAACATACGCATCTGTATGTTGATGCATCTATGTTGGTGCATCTACCAAGCCCCACTCAACATATGCATTTCAGCGTAAATCCAGTTCTTTGCATCCCACCCACCCAACCTTCTCAGCGCCCAGCTGGTGAACCTGAAGTCCCCTGCCTCTGCTGGCTGTTGTTCTTCGGACATAGTTGCGGTTGGTTCTCCCCACCCCAGCTTGAGTGCCCCCCAGCACCGCACGCTGCCTGCGATACCGGCGCAGAGCCCTGCTCCAGTGCGATGGCGCGGGCGTTGGTGGGGACACGGACCTCCTTACCTGACTGCCTCCGGGGAGGTCTTAAAGGGAGTATTTCTGTTGTACTGCGCATCGGAGACAAACGCTGCTGCCAGCAGGAGATCCTGTAGAAAGGGGGAAAACACAGACAGCTGGTCAGTAGATGTTGGAGCTTGAAATAAAATGTAAGGCAAGTATTCAAAGGAGGTCCCTTTCACCCCTGGGCATTGTAGAGAGGCGAGAAGCGGTACAAGGGATGCCACAGCTTCGCATGCCCACGTTCCTCTCCTGCTAACGAGGACCCACCACCGTCCCACCCCCGGGTCGGGCCGGGGACACCCCGTCCATCCTCCCCGGCGGGACCCTCATCCACCCATCCTCCCCGGGGGAACGGCACCGGACCGCTCCGCTCGGCTCCCTGCGAGGCCGCCTCCGCCATGGCGCTGGCAGACGCGGCGCCTCCCCGGCCCCGCCGCCTTTA